TAATATCTGCGCAGGCGTATGACGCCATTTACGAACGGTGCGCGATCGGACGGACTCGTTCTACGGCACTGGCAACGGCAGGAAGAACCAGCAAATGTACCCGCAAGCCAGGACCTAGAGGCGGATAAAAGTCAGAATGAAGAGAAAGCAGAACCGAAACCTGCCGAACAAGAATACCCGTTTGTCAAGTACAACATTAAAGCTCGCGTTCCCAATCGGTATACCACGGAGGAATATAACCGCCATCTGAAGAGTGAGGATTGGTCGCGCGACGAGACAGATTACCTGATGGACTTGGCTGAGGAGTATGACCTGCGATGGGTGGTGATTGCCGACCGTTACGACTACCAACCGCCAGCCGAGGATGGTACAGACCCTGCTTCCGCACTGGTGCCCCGCAAACACTACAGAACAATGGAGCAGATGAAATCGCGATACTACTTCATTGCGGCCTCGATGCTCTCCCTCGAACATCCGCCATCCGAAATGTCCGAATCAGAGTTCGAGCTCCACGAGAAGATGATGAAGTTCGATGGCGAACGGGAACGGCACCGCAAGGACCTCGCCGCCCTCCAGCTCAACCGCACAGCCGACGAAGTCCGCGAAGAATCCCTCCTCCTCGAAGAGCTCAAGCGCATCACCGCGAACGAGCAAGAATTTGTCACCGAACGCAGAGAACTCTACTCCCGCCTTGACGTCCCCGTCAGCGTCGGCAACGCAACAAACTACCACAGCAGCCAAGGCCTCTCTCACCTCCTCCAAACCCTCCTCCAAGCAGACAAGAGCAAGAAACGCCGCTCCATACTCGGCCCCGAAGGCATCGCCCCTACCTCCGGCGGCCAGACCCCCGTCCCCAACGGCTCCACCAGCGCGCGCGACAGCAGTCGCGCGGACACCCCCAACGCTTCCGCGCAACCACCAACAACAAAGAAGGCCGCCGCCGCCGCGGCAGCCGCAAACAAAGAAGCAGCCCAACAGTCCATCCGAGCCCTCACACCCGCTGAAGAAACCCGCTACGGTGTCCAACACCACGACCGCCTCGCGCCGGGCGTGCAGTTCCGCAGCGACCGCGCCCAGAAGCTCACGCAAGCGAAATCCCATGTGCAGACTCAGAAACTCGCCTCCGCGCTCGCGGAGCTCGAGATCCCGCTCCGCTTGGTTATGCCTACTGAGCGTGTGGTTAAAGAGTTTGAGAAGCTGATCCACTCAGTGAATCTGCTTCTTGATGCTCGCAAGGTTGCGGAGAAGGTGGAGAGTGAAATCCGGGTGCTAGAGGCGGCTAAGGAGGAGAGGGAGCGGAAAGCGAGGGAGTTGCGAGAGAAGGATAGACCGGAGGTAAAATCGGAGCAGCAGGATGATGATGATGCTCCTATCCCGCCTGCACCTGGATCTAATCCCGCCCACAATGCAAGTCACGCCGGGGAAAGCCAAACGGAACCAGGGGTATTATCCACGTCTGCCAGTGGGCCTGATGGCGGAGGTGAGCCGCCTGCGGGCGATCATGAAGGAGGCACTCATAAGCGCTCCGCCAGCGTGCTCAGCAACGGAAGCGACAAGAGTTCCAAGCGACAGAAGAAATGATTTGCGCTGTACTTAATATCTTACGAGCCTTTTATTATACCAATGTACGATTACCATTTTTCCTGTTCTAATCTGCTCCGTCCACTATCGATACCCTGATTCTAATTGCCAATTGTCTTTGCTAAATGATACACGGACTCGCTTTGTCGCCTACTCAGGAATTGGATGCTCCTCGAGACATTCTTCATACAGACTGTCCCAGTCGGAACTATCGGAACCGTCTGAGCTCGTTCGCTCAGAAGGTTTAACTTGGGAATTCTGAGGCCCGCGGCAACCATCGAACTGATCTGGCGAGAGTACAGGATAGCTATCATGCATCCTGAGTGCCCGTTCTTTGCTTCCAGGGCCCCTGAGTCTCAGCACTCGTGTCGCAGTTCGCCGAACGACCGGGAACTGTTCAGTCGATGCGGCCAATTTGGCTACGGCTCGGTCAGCTCGTTTCTCAATGTCACGGGCGAGCTCCGAGACTTTGCGCTTGGTAGACCACGCACCGCCCCTCCGACGGAGTGTCGCTAGCTTTTCTATCAATTGGGCTTCAGCATAGTCGCCGGAGCCGACTGTCTCCGCCTGGGGTGCTCCCTGCCCACGCAAGGTTGGCACTGGACGCACCCAAGAACAGAATTCCCAGGGATTATCCGTATCCGCACTAGATGTTGCTCCTTCGTGATTTTTCTTCTTGCCTGTGAGGATCCCGAATATAGAAGAGCCACCGGAATCGCAGCTGCCTGCGTCACTATTGCTTGTCCTGAGGCCGAAACCCGCCCCGGTCCAGCGAGGAAGATTCAGTTTCTGAAGTATCGCCGATACATCAAGGCCAGACTCGCTGGGTTTGTTCGGACCTTGGCTGGTCTTTCCTGTTTGTGGAATCCTATGATCGTCTGTGTACTCCCTGGCGTTTCCCACTAGTGGTCCGTGTGGGTGGTCTCTAGGAGAGCCGCTACTGCCCGGCAATTGCGGTTGCCCAAGCGCCTCCCTCGAGTCATCCGGCGGCACCAGGGTGTACCCATACCCAACACGTCGTCCTTCGGACATCCATCCTACGCTTATCTTGCGAGTATGATCGACGCCGTCACTCCTTTGCAGCTCTACTTGAAGTCGGTTAACTGATGGATCCGATCCAAATTTCTCGGTAAACTTGCTTTTCAGCGCATCTATACCTGCGGCATGGGTTTCCGGGGAAGATGCATTATGAGCTTCGGGGTTGCGTGTCTCTTCCGTCTGACGAAAGGGTAAGCGAGTGTGTATCGGGAACATATTCCCAGACGGGTCTTGGAAACAATGGAAATAGTTTTGCTCATATTTGTACCCTGCAGGGGAATCGCTGGTCTTTGCTGGGTAAAGTGGCTTCGAATCTTGGGAACCGGTGAGCTGCATCTCTGGCCTTCCTTCCGGTACGTCCCAGAGGTTTGGTACTGCCGCTGGTTTGCTGATGCGCTGGTATCGGCTTGCATCCCACATCCCTCTGTTGCTAGCCACTTGATCCTCATCGGATGGATGGTTAAGGGGCGCCACATTAGAGGTGGACGAGGAAGACGCGAGTAATTTTGGGATGTTCATTTCAGCCAAGTGGACAGATTGCTCGTCCGGTGTCATCTCTCTTCGAGGCCGCTGATGCCGTTTCCTAATCGAGATCTGCGGAGGGCAGCCGACTAACGAATCGGCGGACATGGCATAGGCCTGTTGCTTGTGTATTTGAAGAATAGGGTTACCGAAAGATCCAAGTTCGTGTCCTTGGCCGGAACGTTGACTCACGTTATCCTCAGAACTGCCGACGCGTCTTGGGGGCCTTCCTGGCACCGCTTGGATATGCTGGCGATGCATTTCCTGCACCCTCGGTATGGGTGCTGGCGCGGGTCGTTCTTGTGCCCAGGCTCTTCCGCCGGGGCTGGGGCTCGCTGGTTTGCTGCGTGGAGTCCCAGGGTCTACTACGTGAAAGGAAGAAGGGGATTCCGGGAACGTCTGCGGCACTCGATGCTCGTGATCCCGAGAACGCCATGACAGCTGAGGCTCAGCCCCTTCTCCTAAGTATGGGAGCTGCTCGGTTGAGATGTTTCTGTTATCTACGATGAGTCCGGTTGGTTGATCGCGTGAAGGCTCCGTGTCCGGTTCGCGCAGAGCAGATGCAGGGGGCGGCCGGCGAGGGGACATTGCTATCCCATTCCTGGGCTTGTTTGCTTGGTATTCCGTATTGTAGGTAGGGTGCTTCGGCGTCGCGATGTACTGCGCATCACTATCATAGCCCCTTTCGCTCATCAAACTGCTTCCTACATCATGCGAGGCGATCGGGGCCGGGTGGGCCCCGGAATGTTTGGATGCGAAGCGCAAGAATGGGACTTTCGGGCTCCGATCTGACCTTTGTGGTCGTCGATACAAGTCTCTGGCGTCTCGGGAGAACCGTCTGCGGATTTTGTGGGACAGACCGCCGGAGGAGGCGCTGTGGCGATCGAAATAGGTCTGCTCGTCAACGGACGAGGATACGCCTATTCTGGTCAGAGAGCTTGCTTCTAAGTAGGACGGTCGCTCGTGCTATTACCTTCGGGATGGACGTTGATGGTCGACGATGACTCTATCCTGTCCAGGTGGTATGAATCCGTCAGGTCTGAGGAATCCGAGGGTTTTCGGTACCTAAGCCGAGGACAGAAGAAGAAACCCATCGAGCCAGAGTGACAGGAGAATACATGTCATTGAGAGATAGTCGGATAGCAGGCTGGTCGGGAACATCTTGTGCAGCGCTTGGCCGGCTGAGGTTGGGAGGGAGGATGCCCCTTGTCGCTCTCTTGAGGCAGGAGCGCTGGCCGTGGTAGTAGGAGAGGCAGGTACGGCCATGTCCCGTCCCGCGTAGCTGTCTCGGCTTTCAGTCCTGTCCACGAGTCTGAGGGTCAGTGTGATTGTATTACTACTACTAAGTAGGTAGGTAGTGAAATTCTCTTCCCACGGAGGTCGTTGCAACACGGATGGTGTTTTTATATCGGAATGTGAACTCCGGTATATATATGTCAGCGCGTTGATTTCCCGCGAAATCCATACCAACAATTACTAACAATACCACACTGCCAATCGCTGCCGTGATCACTCACTGCCATACAATTTGTCACTCCGAGCCCAGGAAGCCTCTACTACCTACTAGGCACTACTAGTAGTACCACTGGTAGTTAGGTTGAGTGACTTGGATGCCGTTTCTGCCTGAAATGGCCATACCCGAGAACAAAACAACCGGTGCCCCCAACCCGTACTCTAGCCACCGGAGTAACCTCTTTAACTGACCTCAGGAGAGGGGGAACAAAGTAATGTAAGCACTGGCCTTTTCGTGGTAGCAAGCGTGATAGGAGGCGCATGATGCAAGTCACCGGGTTGGCTGGCGTGACGCTCAGGTGTAATTTTGCTCATATTGCCAAAATTATTACATTAAAACATGAAATGGGGTGATAGCTCAGTTGGGAGAGCGCTAGACTGAAGTGTACTTTAGTCCTTTCAAATATCTAGAGGTCGCCGGTTCAATCCCGGCTCATCCCAGTATCTTTTTATTTTTTATTTATATTTTTATGTATATTTATTTTTGTTTCTGATCCTGTCTCCTTTTGCTCCGCTTCTGTAGGTATGGGAGCCATGTAGCTACTAGGTAGTACTCATAGGAGTCCGTCATGGGCCCTCCCGTCGATACCGACTCGCCTGGGGTGAATTATCACCTTGGCAAATCCGGCAAGATTTGGCCTAAGCTGAGCCTAGGTGGGAGAGGCAGATCTCCTTATATCATATATGGCATAGGTATGCCATGACACCGAGGTCACTAGCTTATTATTCATGGACCACATGCTTGTTCAATAATGAAGTTTTCACCAACAGCTCATAGGCCGATCACGGAGGTCTCCATAAACTATCGAAGTACTCCGTAGTTAACTGGCTTTCGTTGAGCCTGACATCGGGGGATTGAGCCATGGATGACCGAAAATACGCCAACTCACTGGGCTTCGAGTCAAGCCTACCTACCTAATCACGCCATCCATTCTTCCTTACCGGGGCGACGAGCAGCCGCAACCCCCTCTCTCGGAACAGTCTCAATGGCAGGGGAATCTCCAGGAATTCATCGCACATGAGAGATAATATAGATAGATCAATTCCAATGATAGCCAATTCCTCGATATCGGACACAAGGAAGTTTTCGGAGTGAGATATATTATTACCAGGCTGTACCTACCTATGTCCTATGGATGTACCCCGCTTCCGGTGTTTTTAATTCGCCGATTCCACACCGTGTCTGAAGGGGGCTCGACTTTTCCGTCCCCCTCCATATATTTCCTCCTCCCCTCCCAGCTCTTTTCCCTCTTCTTTCTTTCCTCTCTCATCCCCTCCTCTTCTGTTCCATCCCATTTTCTGCAAGAGACTTGTGAATCGTCTCTTGTTCCTTCACATCCTCCAACTTCTATCCTTTTTTCCTCCCGAGCCATTTTTCCCACCCTTTCCTTTCGACCCCGCACCCACCGCTTTTTCCTTTCCTCCCTCACCCGTACACACATATCGATCAGAATGGTTCAATCGTATGTCCCCTAACTAATTAACTACCCGTTGCCGCACATGTCCTAACTTGTTTTCTCTACAGCGCCGTTCTTGGTTTCCCTCGTATGGGCAAGCTCCGTGACCTCAAGAAGGCCACGGAAGCTTACTGGGGTGATAAGATCTCTCGGGACGAGCTCCTGAGCGAGGGAAAGAGACTGCGTGCTGAGCACTGGAAGATCCAGAAGGATGCTGGCGTCGACATCATCCCAAGCAATGACTTTGCTTTCTACGACCAGGTCCTTGATCACATCCAGCTCTTCGGTGTCATTCCTGAGCGTTACTCCAAGTACAAGCTCCATCCTCTCGACGAATACTTTGCCATGGGCCGTGGTCTGCAGAAACCCGCCAAGGATGGGCAGGACGCCATTGATGTTCCTTCATTGGTAAGCTGCACTTTGTTGTCCACTTGCCCAGAGGAACTGTTCTAACTCCCGTACAGGAAATGGTCAAGTGGTTTGACTCCAACTATCACTACGTCAAGCCCACCCTCCAGGACAACCAGACCTTCAAGCTTGCTGAGAATCCCAAGCCTGTTGTTGAGTTCCTCGAGGCCAAGGAGGCTGGTGTCATCACCCGCCCCGTCATCCTCGGACCTGTTTCGTTCCTGACCCTCGCCAAGGCTGACCGCGGTCAGTCCGTCGACCCCATCAGCAAGATTGAGGAGCTCGTTCCTCTCTACGTCGAGCTCCTTACCAAGCTCAAGGAAGCTGGTGCTGAGGACGTTCAGATTGACGAGCCGGTTCTCGTCTTTGACCTGGCCCTCAAGTCCAAGAACGCTTTCAAGCCTGCTTATGAGAAGCTCGGCTCCCTTGGTGCCAAGGCTCCCCGCCTTGTCCTTGCCACATACTTCGGTGACATTATTCACAACATTGACGTCCTCCCTGCTCTCCACAACCTTCACGGTATCCACGTCGATCTGGTTCGCAACCCTGAGCAGCTCGACTCTGTGGTCAGCGCTCTTGGTCCTAACCAGGTCCTCTCTGCTGGTGTTGTCGACGGCCGTAACATCTGGAAGACAAACTTCAAGAATGCCATCGAGAAGGTCGAGCTGGCTATTCAGAAGCTCGGCAAGGAGCGTGTCATTGTCGCCACCTCCAGCTCTCTCCTCCACGTTCCCCACACTCTTGCCAGCGAGAAGAACCTCGACCCCGAAGTGTATGACTGGTTCAGCTTTGCCGTCGAGAAAACCACCGAGGTTGCTGTGATCGCCAAGGCTGTCACCGAGGGTCCTGCTGCTGTCCGTGAACAGCTTGAGGCCAACGCCAAGTCCGTCCAGGCTCGTGCTTCCTCCAAGCGCACCAACGACCCCAAGGTCAAGGAGCGCCAGGCTGCTGTCACTGCTGAAATGCACAACCGCAAGTCTCCCTTCCCTGTCCGCCTTGCGGAACAGACCAAGTCTATCAACCTCCCCCTCTTCCCTACCACCACCATCGGGTCCTTCCCTCAGACCAAGGAGATCCGTATCCAGCGTAACAAGTTCGTCAAGGGCGAGATCACCCCCGAGGAGTACGAAAAGTTCATTGAGAAGGAGATTGCCGATGTTGTCAAGATCCAGGAGGAGCTTGGCCTTGACGTTTTCGTCCACGGCGAGCCCGAGCGTAATGACATGGTTCAGTACTTCGGTGAGCGTCTCACCGGTTACGTCTTCACCACCCACGCCTGGGTTCAGAGTTACGGATCCCGTTGCGTGCGTCCCCCCATTATTGTCGGTGACGTCTCTCGTCCCGCCCCTATGACCGTCAAGGAATCTAAGTACGCCGTTTCGATCTCTTCCAAGCCCATGAAGGGTATGCTTACCGGACCAATCACCTGTCTCCGCTGGTCCTTCCCTCGTGACGATGTCCACCAATCTGTGCAGGCTCAGCAGCTGGCTTTGGCTCTTCGCGATGAGGTTGTCGACCTCGAGCAGGCCGGTATCAAGGTGATCCAGGTCGACGAGCCCGCTCTCCGCGAAGGTCTTCCCCTCCGTGCTGGCCTGGAGCGTGAGAAGTACCTCGAGTGGGCCGTTGCCGCCTTCCGTCTGTCCACCAGCGGTGTCACCGACGGCACTCAGATCCACTCCCACTTCTGTTACTCTGAGTTCCAGGACTTCTTCCACGCCATCGCTGCGCTGGACGCCGATGTCCTGTCCATTGAGAACAGCAAGTCTGATGCCAAGCTGCTCAAGGTCTTCATTGACGAGGCTTACCCTCGCCACATTGGTCCTGGTGTCTACGACATCCACTCCCCTCGTGTTCCCAGCGAGCAGGAGATCAAAGACCGCGTCGAGGAAATGCTCCAGTACCTGCGTCCTGACCAGCTCTGGATCAACCCCGATTGTGGTCTGAAGACCCGCCAGTGGCCCGAGACCAAGGCTGCTCTCGTCAACATGGTCAATGCGGCCAAGTACTTCCGTGGGAAGTACGCCAAATAAATCATTTAACACAATTTTTAATTAATGACCCACGGTGGGGACGACATTGTCAACCTGTCGTCTCGAAAAGGATGCCAACATTTCCTTTAATGTCATGAGTTACGATGATGATACCAAAAGTTCAACATATGGGTTTCGGGGTTTCATTAGAGATATCCAGGGGAAAACGGAGTTCAACATTTTACGATTTCAACATCGGCGTTAGCCAAGCATCAACATAACAAAGTTCCGGGCGTGAAGATTCTTCTGTTCTTTTTGATCATTGAATTGAATTGGGAGCATGAGCGGGATGTTGGTGATGGCCGATTGGCCGATGTTACTATATTTCAACAATGTGTATATCACACTGGAGGTTAATACTATACCTCATGTTTTTGACTTTTCACTTTTAATCGCATGCTTTTATTCTGAACAATCTGCATTATCCCTGCACTACTGCATAAGTATACACAGACTATTAAGTACCAAATTCCAGTCAACCCCCCC